GTCGCACTGAGATAGAAAAGCTACAACAGACGACATTAATTTTTTAATTTTTCTAAAATTATAAATTAATTTTCATTTGTTTTTTCATCACTGCCTTCGTTTTCCGCTCTAGTATTTTCTGCCTTTTCAAACACCTTATCCGCATCATCCCTCTCTAATGACCACCTCACCGTTGACCAACTGTTCATCTTCCCCTTCATCCTCCTTCTCCTTCATTTCATCGACCTTTACTCAGAAGAGCAGCAGCAGCAGCTCATTAGTTCCTTTTCCTTCTGGCATTTATCTGCAGTACATTTCACTGCCATTGGGTGGGTTTGCTAAGTGGCAATTGTCAGTGGCTCCTGTGTCTAGGGTTCAGCCCAAATCACTTAGGCTTCTTCACATTGAGGGCAAGAACTGCTGCTCTGAAAGTGTTTCTCAGTCATCATCAGTAAAGCTTTCATCATCCAAACGAATCACCAACATGCCTGCAGCCATTTTTGTCATTGACGACAATGNAGTTTCTTCACATTGAGAGCAAAAACTGCTGCTCTGAAAGTGTTTCTCAGTCATCACCAGAAAGGTTTTCATCACTCAAACGAATCACCAACATGCCTGCAGCCATTTTTGTCATTGACGACAATGAAGAGCTAATTTACCGAGGCGAAGGCAACTCCAGCCTGGTAGTAGCTCTTAAATCGGTATGTGTAGTACTACTTTTTGACCTTTTGAAAAAGTGCCATTGAAAAAGATGCAAGGTTTACGTGTTTGGCAACGCTTGACACTGAATGCCTATTACTGTTGCTGCTAGTTTTCCCTTTTTTATTTTTCAGAATATTCAGTTTCGCTTTGATGATTCAGCAATTTAGTTGTCACTGCTGTTGCATTTGGCACTAGGTCAGGGGCGGTTGAAATTTAAAATAGAACTCATTTGCAGCAGCAGCACTGCGGCATTGCCACATCGTTGCCGGTAAATGCGTTTGATGCCAACTTTTTCACTACCGCACAATTATATACTATCTTTATTTGGTGTAATGCTTCTGCTACAAGGTTTTAACGTTTTTCTTTCACTCTAGAAACGACAAGTTCTTCGACTGCTGAAATCGGATGCCAAAAAACTGGTACGTGTTTAATTTGTTTTTGTTTTTATTACTGTACTTTTTACTCAAAACAACCGCCGTTTATTTTACTCGTAAAAAGCTTTCAATTCAATTAACTAACCAAAGTGTCTTTTCATGTTTTCCATCCTCTGCTTTATTTTTCTTTCTTTTTATCATTCCCCTTATTCTGTCTTCATCTTAATTAACTCTGGCAAATGCATAATAAAATAATTTTTGTTTATGCATGCACACAGCAGCAGAAAAATGATGAAAACGTACGTTCACTGTTGCTGCAGCACATCGACTANTTTTACTCGTAAAAAGCTTTCAATTCAATTAACTAACCAAAGTGTCTTTTCATGTTTTCCATCCTCTGCTTTATTTTTCTTTTTTTTATCATTTCCTTTATTCTGTTTTCATCTTAATTAACTCTGGCAAATGCATAATAAAATAATTTTTGTTTATGCATGCACACAGCAACAGAAAAATGATGAAAACGTACGTTCACTGTTGCTGCAGCACATCGACTACAATGAAGGCGTTCTTTCCTCCGCTCTGCCCAAATTCTTCTTTACCCCGCCAAAATTGGTTTGCCTTGACCATGAACAGTTGGAGGCAATCAGAGCGCTGGTGAAGGGAAAACGACCGTGTAAGTGCCTATAAAACCAACATTTTAGAGTTTGAGACGACTAACATACTTTTGCACTTTTATAATTTAGCATTTCGTTTGGGGAAAACCATTTCCAACTGCGATTACGCTCTTCTGATGCCTGACTACTGCACCATTCCTAAATGTGTCTCCACGCTGGTTGGCGCCACTGGACAGACTCTGTCGATTGAGATTAAGGTTTGTCTATCACTAGTAGTTTAATTTGTTTGGCTCATTTACTTATCAACTTTTTTTTACTTTGTTATGTTTTAAAAACTTTAGCCTAAACAAGGTTTTCTGCCGTTGTTTTCTCTACTTAGTGATCCGACGTTGGCTGTCAAGTCAAAAGTGTGTCGATTTGGTTTGTCGCAGTTTTACAAGGTACTTTTTCATTTTTCATCCTGGTTTTGTTTGACAGTATAATTTAATGTTTTTTTTCTATTTTTTAGCTTCAAAAGAAATCCATCAACGCACTCAGCTCGTATTGTCCTCTGGATCTGTTTAGTGGCTGTCGAACACGAGCTTTGCATGCACTCTTCAATTTAGTCCTTTCACCCCAGAACAACTTTCGCGTTTTTGCGGACGCCAATCTGGTCTATGGAGACCAGGCGAGCTTTGGAAAAAGTGGAAACCTGAATTTTCTGCAAGAAGTACTCAGCCAGTTTCTTTTGCTTGACAATAGTTTTGCCGGTCAGACTGAAGAAAAAGAAAACAAAACCGATAATTTTCTAAAAAAGTCTGACAATTATTCAGACAACAGTCAAACTTATAATACTCGTAATGGCGATTCTGCACACAACAATGCTATTGCCATTTTCTGCAATCTACTACTCAGTTCACTGTACGATGATAAGATTGCTCTAGAAAATGGCAGCATCGAAAACATAGTTCCTATTAAGATGAGCATTCTCGAGCAGCTGGCCAAGGCAAAAGCCGCTGCATCTCTAAACGAGCCTTGTTTTCTGGGCACATTTCTTGCAATGTTTGACATTTCTCTAGCTCCACTTGCCACCCCTTCAGTTGAGTCAAATACAGCCAAAGAGGCGCAATTTGCATTCAAAGGAAACAGTCGTGATGATGTAAATAACAACAACAACAATAGAAACATCCAGAGCAATGGCCGTAGTAATAATGATTATGCTGAAAATTGCAAAACTACAAATGGCTATGCAAATGGCAATAGTCACTGTAACCACAATGATGTTCTTAACAATAACTTTCAGTTGACTGAACAAAATGAAAACGCTATTCAACGTAGTATTGGCAATGGCCATAATGTGAATGGATCAAAACATGCTGAAATGACCAACAACAAAAGCGCAACTAGTCAAACCTGCGTTCTCCACCAAAAACGACCAAAGTGTGTCTGCTCAGGTAATGTTATTTTGCATAATGATTAGATTTAGTTCTATAACATGGTCTTATTTATGCTTGCAGGTTCTAAAAGTGAAAATTGCTCGGCTAAGCTGCCAGCTGGCAGCGTGCTTGGCTCTATTTTGCGAGCTCAAAAACTCGACAAACTCGACTCGCTGAAGGCAGTAGAACTGTATGAAAGTTTGTGTGAGCGATACCAAGTACTTAAGGCAGTCCACTACGATTGGCCATCTGATTTGGTGAACAGTTTTGCCAATGAAAAGTACATCACTTTTGTTGAAGCTTTCATCGCTGCCAATCTGGTTGATTTGGAAAAGGTATAGCATGCTAGGTGGAATGTTTTTAAACACACTGTTAATATCTTGTTTCTGTTTGCAGTTTTGGAGTTTTCTCGTTTCCCTTACGGCAAAGGACTGCTCCCTGATGGTGGCCATTCAGAGGGCAGAGTACTTTTCCAATTCAGGAGTAGTACAATCCTCTTCTTCCTCAAACACCTCTAGCACGCCCATCTGGTGCAGTGTGCACCGCGAGCCAACCACTGGTCACCGATACGTCGTCTCCATATCACTCACTGATCTAGACTTCAAACAGGCGTACAAGGTTGAGCGGTCACTGCACAATGACCGCCGTATGGTGAAGGCTTTCTGGGGCGCACTGGCCAAGGAGCCCACAGCTTTTCCCTCTGATTTGCACTTTTGTGATCTTTTTCCCACCTCTTCCACCTCCACCACCTCCTCCACCTCTTCTTCCTCCTCACTTCCACCTCTTTCTCATTCACTGTTGCTGTGATCACATTGTGTTACATTGTTTTCCCCACTTTTGAGTTATACTTCCTATCTTTTTGCTGTGATTTGCTCGGCGTCTGGTCATCATCACCATTGTCATCACATTTTTGTCACAATTAATCCCCTTTCTCTTCCTCTTCTTCTACCACCGTGAACTTGCACCGTAAATAATTTGTGTTCCTTCCTATATTTGTGTTCTTTTTTTTCAAAATTCTTTTAGTTATTTTAATTTAGCAAAACTAGCAATATAAAAATGATTGTGGGTTGTTGTTGATATCTTATTTGTTAACAATATTTTTATAACAATCTTACTTACTTAATGTATAGTTGTATTTATTTTCAAATTGTAGTTTTATGTTTTTATAACCCTATTTTTAAAATTTATTTATTGTTTAAAGAATTGGTTATAAAATAAATTATTTTAAAAATAAAATTAAACAATTTTATGTTTTTTACTTTATTATTATTATTGTGCTTTCTCTCTAGCACGGCGTGCTTGGCTGCGGCCAAAAAAAGAAAGTTATAAAAAAAAAATAATAAAACAAAGAGTACCGGGAGTTGAAGTAAACACTGATGAGTCAATAAATAAATAAAAAAGTAGGGGAAAAGTAAAGCAAAAATAAAATTAAAGTGTGCACAATGTGTGCCAAAGAGGGAAATAGAGAAAAGCAGTCACAATAAAGTGTGCACACAAAAGTCAAAAGTCACCAGGCCAAAACACATGTTTAAGCCAAGTTATTGTAAGAGAATGAGTGCATTATGAGTGTTCAGTACGGTAGGATTTAAGTTTTTTAAGAAAAAGAAGAAGAAAAGTGCGTCAATGTAAGTAAACAGAGGATGAGAGAAAAAAGGACATCAAACAGAGCAAACAGAGAAAGCAAATGGTAGCCAAAACAGCCGTTCAGACAGTTGAAAAGTAAGGAAATGTGAAATGAATGCAATCAGCAGAACAAAAGAAGAAAAAAAATGAGGAAAAGGAAAGAATCAATGACCATGGCCAACTGAATAGGGGAAACGGAGAGAAGAAGACAGATCTGTGTTTGTGTGTTTGTGTTTAGGTGCGTTTTACGTATTTCTCTGCTGTTGCTGCTGCTAATGTGCGTTGATATCATCTCAGTAGCTGGTGGACAGCTGCCAGATCCAATTGGGCAGCACCAGCTCGAGCTTGTCGGCGACAAAAGACAGGTTCTCAAAGGTCCACTGGAGCATGGAACGGAAGATGTAGAAGAGCATCTCCGGGTACTGGTAGGCCATGAAGGCGAGCATCGCCGTCACTGTGCACAGACTGGCGGTGAAGCGAATGAAGATGGGGATGTCCTTCTTGGGGTACACCGACAGTTCGTGGTATTCTGAGGTTAGGTAAAAAGGTAAAAAGTAAAATTAAAAGTTTTTTAAAACGTTACAAGCAAATGCGCTGTGTTAGTACTTTACCTGGCAACAGTTCTCGATCGGTACACTCAGTGCAGTTCGGGTACGGGTAGAAGAGGTGACCTTTCTCCAGTGGATGCGGAATGATGCGGAACGCTGAAATGAGAGGCAGTTGATAAGGCTAAGGCTCTTTTGAACACTTTTTGCTATCTTTGAGAGGTACTTACTGCCCTTCCAGGTGCAGTCCAGCAGATNGCAGTTGATAAGGCTAAGGCTCTTTTGAACACTTTTTGCTATCTTTGAGAGGTACTTACTGCCCTTCCAGGTGCAGTCCAGCAGATTGAGCGCCCCCTCGACGCGCTTCCAGTGCGGCAGGTGGAAGAAGGCGTAGGCAATGGCCTCACTGTCGCCGCGCTTCAGAATGTGCTCCGGCGGAAAGATGAGCTTCTTCGCCTCCAGCAGGTACTTTGGCACGTGCGGATTGAACTCCACCGCGCGGTGGATCGCCTCCACGGCGTGCATCTCCGCCATGGAGAGACCTCGCTTGGCGATCAGGTCCGGGGAGAACTTGTCGCCGATGTTGCGCGCCTTCAGCAGCGCCGAGGTGTAGCAGATAGTGGCCGACTTGGGGAGGTTGATGTCTGAACGATAACGGAGAATAGTGATTAAAGATGTTCAGATTTTTAGGTTTCAAAACACATGATCCCAGCCAATCACTCAATCACTTACCATCGTACTTGGCGAGCAGCGCCTGCACGTCGGCGTACGCCTGCATCTCCAGCAGCGCCTCAATGAGGTTCTCGTGAATGTTGAAGAGGTTGACCATGGGAAACTCCTTGATGATGTCGCGCATCATCTTCACCGACTCGCGCAGTTTGCCCAGCTTGCGGGCGCACATTGCCAGCCGGCGGCGGATGTAGATGAGCACGTTCAGGTCGCGGCGGTGGGCGGCCTCGTGCAACGCCGACTGGTGGTGGGACAGTTGCGACCGGCGGTACGTGGCCTCGGCCACCTTCAGGCCGTTTCGGAGGATCCGCTCCGCCTCGGTGATCGTCTTCGCCTCCTCGTCAGCCAGCAGAATGTAGGCGGGGGCGCAGTCGGCGTTCTTCGCCAGCGCCTCCTTTGCCGATTTGATGCGCGCCTCGGGGTCACGTTCTCGCCAGGCGGTGGTCATTACTAGAAGGAAAAGGTGAATACGAAATACGAGTTTAAACAGAGATGTTTTAACGGTTGACTTGGCACGCTTGTACTCACTTTCCATGTCCTCCTTGCCGCCGTCCGCCTCGCAGGTGAAGAACGTCTGGTGGTCTTGTGCGCTCAGGTTCATGTCGTAGAAAGTGAGTGCCTCCCGTTTGGTCGCCAACGCCAGCTGATTGTACTCGGCCCCACGAAAAAGACTCATTGGATTGCGCCAAACTTTGCATTCTACCGAAGTAGTGATCAAGATTAGGAAAGTGAAAGGTGAAAAAGCACAGCAATGAAAGCACATTTGACGGCAAATTTGATGCAGAAGCATGCAGACAAAGAGGTTGTTGTCAGATTGAACAGGGATTTTGTTAGTAGACAAAGAAAAAGTGCGTAAGTGAAGTGGAAAGAAAAGAATAGAAAAAGAGAACGTTAGTACCAAAAGAGGAATGAAATCTAGTAGATCTAGTATTAATAAGTGTTGCAAATGCTAACCATTACCACCACCACCACCAGCCCCGGATGCTGCTGAAGTTGACCCTGATCCCGCAGACCCTGCCGCCGCCGTCGCTGCCGCAGATGATGAAGACGAACCTAGGGAGATGTGTCCAGAAATGAGGTGACGACCTCCTCCTGCTGCTCCTCCAGCACTACCACTACCACTGCTGCCACTACTACTGCCACTACCAGGGCCTCCGCCTCCTCCTCCTGCACTACCTCCACTGCCTCCACTTCCACTGCCCAGAACGCCGGCAATGGCTTCATTGGTGGGCGTCGCCGGCGTCGAGGAGTCCTCGCCGTCGCTGCTGTCGGCGCTGCTGCTGCCGCCGCTGTTGTTGCCACTGCCACTGCCGCTTCCGCCACTGCTGCTGCTGTTGGCGCCGCCGCTGTTTCCGCCAAAGAGCGGCGACAGGTAGTTCAGGGAGATCTGCTCGATGAAGGAGATGCCGTACTTGCTGAAGTACCACCACTCAAAGAGCTGAAAGGATTGAAAAGAGGAAGGTTAAGAGAAACCGAGGGTAACAAAAGAAAGCCCCGTTGGCAAGAGCAGTACCAGAATGAGAATGGAGATGAGAAAAGAGGTGGCCGTCAGTGCCACGTAAAACTTGGGCGTGAGGATGTTCCAGAACACAAAGCCTGTAAAGGAGATGAGGTTTTAATAAAATAAAAAAATGCGTTTTTTAAAGCTTTTAATACCATCACTGCCGCTGGCAGCGGCGGCAGCGCCCACGGCAGTGTTGCCCATTTTCATCATGATGATGGTGTAGATGAGAAAGAGGATGGTAAGTATGATCAGCTTCAGGTAGATGATCAAGCCAAACGTCGCTGACTTTGGCCCAATCATGTGGACTGCTTGGCTGGGGGGACTGATCCACTTGCTGGAGAGAGGTGAGGTGGCATAGAGGAAAGGGATGATGATGACAATGATGATGAGCAAGAAGAAAGTGAATCACAAGAGAAGAAAGCAAAAGTCATTTTAAGAAAACACTTGCAATGCTAAGTGGCACACTGTGATGAGGCATTCAAGTTTGGTTAGTAACATAGCAACTTTTTTTTGCTTTTTGACAATCAGCTACAGTGAATGTAATGCAAATAAATAATAAAAACAAAAACTAAACGAGCAAAAATAAAAATAAAAATGAAAACGTGCAAAAAGTGCTAAAAAGTTTGCAATTAAGACGATTTTCTAAGTGTGTTTTCAAGAACTTTTGATGAGTGTGCAATAATGTTTTACCGGGAAAACAAAGTGAAGCCAAGTTGAACTTGATGAAACAACTGTTTTGTTTCAGTTTAATAAAATGCCAAAATGTTGAAACGGGTGGGAACACACAGATTTAATCTCAGATTTTGATGTCTGTTTTCAGTTGATGTTACAGTGTCATTGAGCTTACTGGCCAGATGACATGCTGTCATTTGGTGAATGTGGTCCACTGATGATACAACCCACGGAGAATGCAGTTGCTGCTGCAGCAACCGCCTACAGAATCGGTCGGTAATGACAAGTGTTCAGTTCCAAATTCCAGTTTTGAATTTCCAGGGGGCACTATGCAAACAAAGCCAGTGCATTGGTGGCAGAGTGTTCCAGCGCAGTGCCGACCGGCGCAGTGTTAGCACTGTTCCAGTGTGAATTCCAGCGCAGTGCAGCACTAGACACTGAGTCAATTCCCGGAAATTGGCCGAATAGCACTAGTTGGTGATGGGAGAAAGATGATGCAAAGAAGAAGAAGAAGAAGAAGAAGAAGAATAAGAGTCTGAAGAATTGTGTGTGTGTGAGAGAGTGTGAGTGTGAGTGTGTGTGAGTGTCTTTCGGTGAGTTTGTTATTTTGTTGTTGTTGCTGGTGCCGCTGCTGCTGATGCAGTTCTTTCTTTCTCTCTTTCTCTCTTTCTTTCTTTCTGTCTCTCTGTCTGTCTGTCCGTCCGTCTGGAGGCACTCCGGCTGCCACTGCAGTGGCGGCGGTCTTGAGTCGGAATTGAGCAGTGGCAGCCTGGAAAGCAGTCTTTCACACTCTCAGCTCCTCACATTCACAGCCTGCTTCTATGCTTGCCTGTTTGCTAGCCTCTATGTCTGCTAAATAGCTTGTGCCAGCAGAAGTGGCGGCTTTGGCGGCAGCAGTGTCCGCACAGT